TCAATGAGTTGTATTAAGAGAGAGTTACAGTGAACCATTTCTCAAACAGTTTTTATTCTTGGGTGGGTGTGAGTGCACATTGTTGAAATTGTTACTTAATATAGAGTTGGTCTTCTGTCTACAAAGTTCATTGAAAATGCATCTTAATGGAGAATGAGACTGAGAAGTAGAGAGGGAAGAGGAGCTGGGCTGGGAGTGTGGGTGGTACCCTGGGTATGTGGAGAATAACTATATTCCTAAAGTTGCCTTATGAAATGTATATTCCTTAAAATAAAAGAATGAATAAATTTTTAGAAAGAAATGGTAAAAATTAATTTTACTATGAAAGTAAAAGTGAATAGGGACTTTGAAAAAATTCTCCCTTCAGGAGCAATTAAATTGAAAATATATTTTTCCCTCCTCAATTACTGTCTATTTTCTTAATAAAATGGTATGAATAGATAATAATAAAAAAAGACATCATGGAGTCCATGTTGACCAAGAAGCTACACGTGGAGGCCCCTGCCAAAGCAGCCCAGGTCTGCTGAGCTGCTCAGGTAAGGCTCTCTGTGTAGGGCAGGCAGGTGGGGATGTGTTTCACTAGTGGGCAGCCCAAATCAAAAACTGAGCCAGCCTGTGCCAGACAAGGCCAGAGAGTTACAGCAAAGCCCCGTGTCTCAGACGTTATGAAACAAGGAGGGAGCAGAGGAATCTGAATTCAGAGCTGCAAGTGCGGAGAGTCTGTAAGTAAGGTGTCCACGTGGATGGGCTCCCATGGGGCCCTCCTGTTTACTCTCTCTTCTGCAACAGGAAGTCCCCATGGCTGTGTTTCTGGGAATCCAGTCACCAGTTAGCTTTGGTCCTCTGTAGGTGGTGCTCTGCCTGTTCTCTCTTCTCCCGTGTTCTCATGGTTCCCTTAGTGTGGAGGTGCTTTTCTGTGGGCACTCACCTGGAGATGGAGCTGCATTGGGTCTTCTCAGGGGAGGAGGAGGGGATGCTGGGCTCCCCTGTTTGGTCATCTTCCAATCAATCCTCATTTACCCTTAGTCACCATCACCTCCTGATATAGAAGACTGATGCTTAGCTTGACCCTGCCAGACCTTCATTCTTGTTTCTTGCCATGTAACCCCTGTGTGCACCATGATTCCCAGTCACTGCACTGTACACTGTGTGTCTTCCTACATGGAAATGCCTGTGGCTGGAAGGAGGAACTGAATTAGCACCTTTATGAAGGCGAGAAAGGAAGAATCCTTGCACTGTTGATAGATAACAACCTGAATGGAATCTCAGGAATTGTGACAAGATCTTTCTCTAAAAGTGGGAGCAAGGCCTTGTGTTGCCCTTTGCTATTCTTGGCACAGGTATTTCTCCAAACCTGAGTGGTGATGCTGGTGGAGGGCTCTATAAGGCATTGTTATGAAAATCTGTGGAAACACAGAGAACCCAACACTCATCCCTTCCCATGTAGAACTTTCTCCACGCTTGCACCTTAGGCATTGCCGTGGCATCCTTGAAGATCAGGACCAAGAACTTTCCCAGTTACGTCCAAAGGTCCAAAGGGGGAGAAATCTAGCCCACATCCTGCAGCAGTACCTGAAGGACGTGCTCACTGTGCATGACCCTGAGACCTGTACAGGGCAGGGCTTCCGACGACTGCTCACTGAGGCTGTCCGGCTGTCAGCGTGCCTTGAGGACCTGCTTGGAGCAGGTAAGCTGGGCACAGGCTGTCATCTGAGAAGCCTCAGGGGTTCAGATGCATTCATCTCTCTGCCATGGGCATTTGCCTCAGCTCTTCTTGGTACTGAACATGTGTGCCATGACAAGGTCAGCTCTGCTTGGGAAAAACAGATAGGGGCAGAGAAGTCTTTCAAGTTTGCAGTATCCCAAAGGTCTCCTCCCTTCCTGATTGTGGTTGGCCTTTGGGGGAAGAGGCAGGGTCCATCCTCATATCAAGACCAGATGACCTTGTGAAGTGAGGCCACTGTTAGGCTGAACACAGTCACTGAGCTAAGTTGAATGGAAGCCTCCAGCTCTGTGATCAGTGTGGTTTTCAAATGGTAGACAGGTGATTACTTTCTCCATCCAGGATTTCTCTCTCCTCATTCACTAGATGGACCAAAAAAATCTGGGGCAGAGCAGATGTAACCATCAAAGGTGGAAGCTGTTGCTTGTATGTTTCCCAATAGGACAAAGGCCCTCCTCTCCCTGGGAGTGCCAGACCAGGCACTAGCGTTAGTAGAACTTCTGTGAGGAAAGCTGTTGAGAAGGGAACTCGTAACACAGAGAGAATTTCCTCTAATGATACAGCAGAGAAAACGTGGAGGGCCTGTGAGGGAGGGATGGAAGTCGGGTTCTTTGCTTCTTCCTGACAGATGGAGGTTCTCTGTGAGACCCATGGGAACATAGAACCCATGCCTTGGACTCCCACTAGTGGCAGGATGAGGAATAACAGGCAGAAGTCCCAGGGATGCTTGAGAAGCTTCCAGTGATATGAGAGCAAAGGATGTTGGCCTAATTTCAGGCAGAATCTGCCATGGTTCTGATCTCCAAGTGCAGAGACACAAAGCCTGATGGACCACAAGAGAATGGCAAGGTGTTCCTTTAAACACAGAACATTTGAAGTTTTTGTCCACTGTTGGCCCATATGTAGATATTCATATGCACACAGAGGCCACCTTGATTGTAGTGGGGGGGGGTGATAATATCTGATTGGACATTTCTGAATTTGTTTCCAGAAAATATTGAAGAGGAGGAAACACCAGCACAAGGACCTGTTGCTGACAGGTAATAGTGAATGATTAGGAGCTGGCAACAAATGGGTGAAGGATGCACAGGGTCTCCTAAAGAACAGAAAAGGGGCCGAGAAGTCATGAAGTTGAGATGCACACAGAAACACAACTGCAGATTGTGTTGAGTCCTTCCTTGCCAACTAGGAAATCCCCCTGTTGAAGTAGTTCTCTGTTGTCCTGGTCCTAGTTGCTGACAGGATCCATCATGAACTCACAGCCTTAGGTGTTGCCTGCACACAAAGGGAACCCCTGTTCTCTGCTTTCTGGAAAAGGGAAGAAGATGGGCATCTGCTTTCTACAGAGTTAGCTGAAGTTCTCATCAGAGAAAACTAGCAAAGAGGCAATGTGCAAAGGGAGCAGTTAGGAAGAATCCAGCCAAGTTCAACTGCAGAAAAGCACCTCTACAAAACCATGTTTGCTGTCCTGTGACTTGGTTAAGAGAAGGCCCAGAAGGTAGCACATCTCTAGAATCTGCCAAGCCCCTAGAACCTTGATCACATGGCTGCAGGACACTGCAACAACCCAACCTGAGCACAGGGTGTCAGCCCGCGCGGCTGTCAATGTGTGCTTGTGCTGTGACTGTGCCATGCAGTGACAGTGGAGGCTGCTTCCTCATTAGCTGCTGTGTATTGAGTGTGATGAGCAGAGGCTGATCTCTTCCCAGGCCCTCTCCCCCTAGGCAGCCACACGGTGTCCAGAATGGGGGGAACCACCTCTATGCTGTCTATGACTGATCCCTTATGCACCCCATCCAAACCAGCCAACTCCCTGGTGTCTCTTCCTTCCTGGTTTCATCTCTGTCATCCTTATCCCACCTGGCTTCTCAGGGAGCTCTTGGAAGTGGATGAAATGGAAACCCCACAAAGTTCACAGCAGGAAACATCTATCACTGGTGCTGTTGACCACCTGCCGAGTGACTCCTGCCTGCCTGAGGGCACTGTGCAAATGTCTCCTGATGCTGAGGACACCCACGGTGTGCTAGGTGTAGATATGGAACACGCTTGTTCACACAAGAAAGAAGAACCTGTCACCATTCTCCCAGGTAGCCTCTCCATTCTTTGTACACAATGGCTCTCAGGTGGAGGGTTGCTTTTGAGCACAGGCCCTGCAGACACAAGTTGGTTTCAGTCAGGGTCCAGGTTGTGGCACTGAACAGAAACATCAGGAGAGTCAAGGAGTTTCGCTCCCCTCAGAGGCTGTTTGTCTCACTGCACCCTAGCCTAAGGGAACATACAGAGGCCCTGTGTAGGAAGTGCCTTTCAGACACTCTAACATAGAAATAATGCCTGCTGTCACCTGCAGTGATATCATTCTGTTCTACTACTGCATCCCTGGAGTTCTAGTCCGATGCAGGCTTTTGGTAACACTTCCCATGTGTGGGCCAAGTTGTGATCCTAGTTTCCCTACTTCCATCCCTAGTCTCTATCTCCTTTAAGACAGCTTATCTTAGCTATGCAATCATCTCAAAACCAAGTCTTTTATACTGTACTTCCTGTACAGTTCAAAAAACATAGCTGAATCCAGGAACGTCCCTACAAAATCAGTGCTCAATGTTTCTCTATAACTGCATAGATTTATTTATGTGAGGTGTTATGGAGTTCATTAAGCCTTCTATAGAAACTCCTCTACCCTTATTCACCATGATCAGTCTGATAGGATGAGTCAGTAACATAGCAACACTCCTAGATTTTAGATACATAAATCCTAAAGGGCCGGGGGAGAGAGCTCTTGAATTGCTTGTATTGTTCCCATAGACAAGAGGGAGATTATTCATGAGCAACTCTTAGAATAGCCAAGATTCTGTGTGGCATCAAACAGGTTTCAATTCCAGAACATCAGACTCCATGCATAGCTCTCTCCCAGTGTTCTACCTCCTCTCCACAGTCAGCAACCTGGGTCCTTAAAAGAGAGCAGCCTGACAACTGCAGTTTGCCTCCTAGAAAGTTCTTGTGAGCTTAGAATCCCTGAGGACCATTGCAGGCAGTTTCTAAGGGTTCTGGGCAGAGGTTATTGAGATGCTGATCCAACTGTGAACAGGGAGATTTGACCCCTTTCCCAGGATGGCTCACCAAGCCCATCTCCTGATGTTGACTTAGTCCTCCTGGAGGATTTCTGTCAGTCTCCTGTTCTCACACGAGAACAATCTGTCCCCTTGGTAGTAGTGGCCATCGGATACCCATATCTGACCTAAAACCTGCTTAACCTGGTCAATCTCTCTGAATTTGTTTGCAGAAAATCAATATCACGAAGTGGAGGTACAAGAGCAAGTTGTCACACACACTTCCAGGTAACTCGGGAGCAGAGCAGACAGTGTAGCATGGACTACTAGGGAATCAAAATACTGGAGAAACTGGTGACTAGAGCCAGTTGGAACATTCAGCCAATGATGAAATGGCTCTGTTCATAATGTTCCCTTTTGCATTGTTTCCCTCTATATTCCCCCTTTGAACATCCCTCACATATTTTAACCTGTAGTCTGATGACAAAGTCACTTCTGTACCTGTGATGCGTGTCTTCAGTGTCTCTGCCCTCCCATCTCAGCAGGGAGCTCCCAGAGGAGCAAGAGCAGGAAGACCCAGAGGACTCGCTGGACGAGTGCTACCTCACTCCCTCGATTTCCCCAGTTGTTTCTGAGCTTGACCATTCCACGTGGAGCAGCTGGTGCCCCCTGGAGCAGCAGGACATGCTCTCTGCTCCAGATGCAAATGGTGAGTCCCCCACTGTGAGGTGATACAACCCCCTCTGCTTGCCAAGGAGCCCGCACTATCCTTGCACTCATCACTCCCACCTGACTGAGAGGGCTCCTGGACATGGGATGGTCTGAGACGTTCCCAGCATCTGTTCTTTTTCAACCAGTCTGTTGCACAGGTGTGGTTGGCCCATCCAGCCTTGCTGTCCTCCCATTCCTTGTGTGGCTTTGTCACTCAGATTCCAGTGCTCAGTCATTGCCAGAAGAATGTCACAGATGCACACCAACCTAAGCAGCACATCTCATGCTTGTCTCTGCCGTCTGTTCTGAATGAAGCAGACCCCTCTGCCCCCTGCAGTGTTGATCACACGAGTCATTCCCCATCCCTGTCATGTGACATTGTTTCCTGTCAGAGCCAGCAGCATGCTCGTCTCCATTACAGTCAAGATACTCCCCCTGTTTCATTGAACCCAACCACATTGTCTGTCCCTTCAACATTGGCATCATTTCACCTACCACACATACAGAATGTTCTGCCATTCCTTTAGTAGTGTGTCCCCAGGCTGCAGGTCTGAGACCTATGCTTAGAGATTCCATGAGTAGCCCAGTTTTCTCTTGTGCTGCACACATGCACTCTGATACCCAGAACTGAAAATTCACCTGTTCCACCTTTTATCTTGTCCTCAATGTACAAAATATGGTAAACCACAAACTACCAAGATAGCTTGTTTGAGAACCATGGGCACTGCACTTCCTCTCATGGAAAGGAATCACACTAGGAACGAAGTGTCTCCAGAGAATATTATTTTAGATTTGATTTTACCTTATGAAAGGCAGAATTAGAGAGAGAAACAGGGAGAGAGAGGGTGGCAACTCTTGCATACTCTGGTCTGCTCCCCACATGGCCACAATGGCATCGACTGGACCAGGCCCAGGGAGGAACTAGGAGTTTCCTCCAGGTCTCCTATGTGGGTGCAGGGCCCAAGTACTGGGCCATCTTCTACTGCATTCCCAGGTGCATTAGAGGGATCTGGATCAGAAGTAGAACAGCCAGCACTTGAACTGGCATTGACATGGGATCCTGGGGTTAAAGGCAGCAGCTTTACCTGCTATGCCACAGCACACACACTTGGGAAAATTTGTTTCATTTCTGTAGGGAATCAGGTCAGCAACTATTGGTGTGATGGCTGGAGGAATAGGGAGGTTTACCTCATGTGTCAAGAAAAATGAACAAGCTAGTTCCCTCAGAAATGACCTCCACCCTCTAGACAATTCCTATCTGAGGAGTCGGCAGTGACACTGAGGATACTGGTGTGCTGTGCTAGCGCTGGACAGCGCATTGTACAGGCTTTGAGGGGATCATCCTAGATGACTGTGCCTATTGGAATTCATTTGCAGAAAAGGAACATGACAATGATGAAGTGCAAGAGGAAGCACAAGCCCTGTCACACACCAGGTGAGTCTTAGGAACCCTGGGCAGCGAGCTTAGTGCTGACACAGGAAGACTCCAGGTCCAGAGAAGAAGAGCAGTGCCACTGTGCATCTCCCATCCATTGAGCCAACCCAGCGGTACCCCGTCAGCACTGCTGTCTGCCATCATTAGGGTACCAGTCTGGGTTTCCACTTCTCCCTACCTTTTCCATGTAGTGACCTGCAGCAGGCTGACTCCATGAAGGAGCCTCTCCAGGGATTCCTTGCCATCATTGCCCCTCTCTCACGTGCAGTGAAGGGCAGGGTGCTGCTCACAGGTCTCCTCTTCTCATGAGCTTCTCTGCCCCCCATTAATCACGTGAAACCACCCGACAGAAACTAGTGCCTCAGCACTGAGAATAAGACTGAAGGCTAAAGCTGTGATCATCTCCAGTATCCCAAAAGGGGAATTCATTGACTCTGCATGTAATTTACATAAATCTGTTGAAGCCGGTTTTTGTTTTCCAAATACTCATGGGTACTAGTGGACCAACTGAGAGTCATTTCTCCAGGCTGAGATCCTAATGACCTCATCACAGAGGAAATGCTCTATTTCTCTCTGCTTCTGTCTCCATGCCCTGTCAATATCTCTGCTATTCACCTATCACCTCAAACCTAACACTCTTTCTCCAAGAAGATGAGATTTCTGTTTGCCTGTTTACTTTACATTGACTTCAAGCAGTACAAATAAGCATAAAGAAGTCTACAAGCACACATAGATTTAATAAAATTTAATATTTGGCTGTAGTTGATTCATGTGTAAATATTATATATCTACACATACTTACTATTCACAGTGAAGGCAGTGGTGTTTCTGTTTTACCTGGCTTTCTGTTTCCCACGTGCTTCATATGAGCACTTCATTTTTCCTCACATGAAAGCTGCCCTGTGTTAATGTTCAGGTCGTCTACTCCAGGTGGTCAGCAAGGAGCCTCCTCAAATGGAAAACATTGCATCCTGTCTGCATTGTTAGTAGTCATTCTTCCCCAGATAGGGACAAAGTTGTGGGTGGCCCCTTGTTCGGGTCAGCCTCTTCTGGAAGCCTCATCTTTGGAAAAGCTTGGAGAGGGGCTTTCTGTTCCCTCTATGTTTCTCACCCACCTTTCCCTCCCTCCAGTCTCATCAGGGAGATTCCAGAGATTGAAGATCAAGATGTCTCACAAGACTCTCACGGTATGTGTTTGACTCCTGCACTTCTTCCGGAAGCTTCTGACTGCTCCCATTCTAGGAGCACCTGGTCCTCACTGGGAAACAGCCTGTCTGCTCTGCTCTTGTTGTAGACAGTGAGTGCTCCATTGTGAACAGGAACACTCCACTGCTCTCCCAGGTGGCCTCTGTAGTCTTGGGTTGCTGCACCTGTGTTGGGTGAGACAGACCACTGTGCACTCAGGCCCTGGGGAATTATCTCAGTCTGGATGTGGCTCTTGATGGAGTTTGTTCATAGTCATAAAACGGGGGAATCCCTTGGCTGTCACCAGGCCCACTTTCAAGGTGCAGCTTTTGACATCAAGACAGGGAAGGAGGGGATGGGAAGGCATGATGGCCAACACCGAGCCACCACCATCTCTCTTGGAGAGGCTTCTTTAACAACTCACTGTGATGTTCCTAATTGTAGCAACAGTTGCAATTGTAAACAGCATCCTCCAAACTTCTCAGGCTTAAAGCTTTGGCAGTCTGTACAATGTTTCCTTAGTTATCTGATACTAGGTATCCTTGGTCGGCAGACTGTTTTCTCTGAAGCAGCGTGGTGCTAACCACAGCAGTCCAGTCCCGCACCTGTGTCCATGGTGTGGTTTTCATCTTCTGCTTCACAGCACTGATTTGTGCTCATATGAGGTCTGTAGTTTTAATCCAGTGTCTAAACTCGGCATTTTATTCTCATGCAAAGCCTCCATAATCTTGTACCAGGACAGGAATCTATTCAGTATCTGAGTGAGGCTGAGGGGTCCCTCACATCATCACAGGCAGAGTGCCTCTTGTTGAATCGGAGCCTTGGAGTATTGCTTCATGGGGGTTGGGGGGCAGAGGAAAAGTCCAATTTCCTTGAATCTGAGCTTCGATGAGGTTTTACACTTTCAGGAGGAGTCTTTAGGGTTTGAGGCACCTTCAGTCATCAAATCATTCAGTAGGTAAGGCAAGAAATCCTGATGCCCTTCCCTGTTTCTCAGTGTTCTGGAGTAGAATTGGCAATGACAGTTGTCCCCCCAGTGCTATTGATCAGCAGGCACCTTTTCGTGGTGACGCCATGCGCTTTTCCTCTGTACAGAGGTACAGAGATGTGCAGAGTCATCCCAGGACACAGCGATCCACACCCAGCTGTGAAGGCCACTCTCATGGGCATCTGTGCTGTGCTAGACCCTGTGCCATCCTGATCCATGCAACCCTCACTGGACCTCTCCTGGTGGAGATTCTGTCCCCACCTTGGGGAGAGGATCCTGAGGCTCAACAAGGTCACTCTCCCAGGTCACCCCACCTTGTGTGCGTTGCAATCAGAGACCACTCCTTGGCCTGCCCCTTGTCTGTAGGCTCAGTCCACTTGTTTTCAGCAGACATGCCAGCCATGTGGCTGGTTTGGGTACTCACACTTAAAACTTTTCTTCTGTAACAAATTGTGTTGAGAGAATTTCAAATATCAGTAGAAAAGTTCCGGTCTGCAAACAAGAACTTCTAAAGTTCCTGCAAACATCTCCCACTAGGAAGGCATCGGTGTGCTTCATCCCTGAGCAGGGTCAGCACCTCATTGAGGTTCTCAGATAGAACTCCAGCTCAGGAGTGCCCCATGGCCTGAAAGTTCCTGGTCTCTCCCCTCGGGCTTTTTGCACTCAGGCTCCCAGTGAGGCATGCCCATCTGCATTTCTGTCGAAAGTGGTTGCTGTTTCACAGAACAGAGTTCCCTGGATGAACGTTTCTAGGCTCCAGTTGTGCCTGGGATGTCTGACTGCAAGCATACAGGAGCTGCTTATGCTCAGAAAGCCAGAGCAGATTGCTGGGCAGTTTATGTACAGAATGATCCCTTTTGAGAGCAGGTAAACCTTCATCTCTGCCCCTGGTGACTGCTCTGTCCTTGTACTCCGATCCCCACTGAGGATGAGTGAAGTCATTGCTACGTGCCAGACCTACAGACTTGTGGTTGTAGACTCAAAATCCTGAATTGAGCTGTAAGCAGGAGTTAGAATTCATATTGTTTATTTGTTATGGAACAGAGCTGTGACCACTTCACAGCAAGCTCAGCAGCATGTGCCCCGGTGGTGTTTGCTCCCTCCTGGTTGGAACCTTGGAGGATCACTGTCGCCACGTGCTTACTTTTTCTTCAATACCAAACCTCAGCTCTGCCCTTTGACATCCATGCTTGTCCAGGCCACAGCATCCATATAGGCATCTCTGTCATTCATGTTCTCAATGGCGTTTCCATTTGAAGATGAATGGACTAGGGAAGAGTTCGACCAGAAATACACGCTCTTGAATTGCTTGTATTGTTCCCATAGACAAGAGGGAGATTATTCATGAGCAACTCTTAGAATAGCCAAGATTCTGTGTGGCATCAAACAGGTTTCAATTCCAGGACATCAGACTCCATGCATAGCTCTCTCCCAGTGTTCTACCTCCTCTCCACAGTCAGCAACCTGGGTCCTTTAATGAGAGCAGCCTGACAACTGCAGTTTGCCTCCTAGGAAGTTCTTGGGCTGTAAGCTTAGAATCCCTGAGGACCATTGCAGGCAGTTTCTAAGGGTTCTGGGCAGAGGTTATTGAGATGCTGATCCAACTGTGAACAGGGAGATTTGACCCCTTGCCCAGGATGGCTCACCAAGCCCATCTCCTGATGTTGACTTAGTCCTCCTGGAGGATTTCTGTCAGTCTCCTGTTCTCACACGAGAACAATCTGTCCCCTTGGTAGTAGTGGCCATCGGATACTCATATCTGACCAAAACCTGCTTAACCTGGTCAATCTCTCTGAATTTGTTTGCAGAAAATCAATATCATGCAGTGGAGGTACAAGAGCAAGTTGTCACATGCACTTCCAGGTAACTCGGAGGCAGAGCAGACAGTGTGGCGTGGACTACTAGGGAATTAGAAGCCAGTCTTCCCCAGATAGGGACAAAGTTGTGGGTGGCCCCTTGCTCAGCCCAGCCACTTCTGGAAGCCTCCTCTTTGGAACAGCTTGGAAAGGGGCTTTCTGTTCCCTCTATGTTTCTCACCCACCTTTCCCTCCCTCCAGTCTCATCAGGGAGATTCCAGAGATTGAAGATCAAGATGTCTCACAAGACTCTCACGGTACGTGTTTGACTCCTGCACTTCTTCCGGAAGCTTCTGACTGGTCCCATTCTAGGAGCACCTGGTCCTCACTGGAGAAGCAGCCTGTCTGCTCTGCTCTTGTAGACAGTGAGTGCTCCATTGTGAACAGGAACACTCCACTGCTCTCCCAGGTGGCCTCTGTAGTCTTGGGTTGCTGCACCTGTGTTGGGTGAGACAGACCACTGTGCACTCAGGCCCTGGGCACTTATCTCAGTCTGGATGTGGCTCTTGGGTGGAGTTTGTTCATAGTCATCAAACGGGGGAATCCCTTGGCTGTCACCAGGCCCACTTTCAAGGTGCAGCTTTTGACGTCAAGACAGGGAAGGAGGGAATGGGAAGGCAGGATGGCAAACACTGAGCCACCACCATCTCTCTTGGAGAGGCTTCTTTAACAAGTCACTGTGATGTTCTTAATTTTAACAACAGTTGCAATTGTAAACAGCATCCTCCAAACTTCTCAGGCTTAAAGCTTTGGCAGTCTGTACGATGTTTCCTTAGTTATCTGATACTAGGTATCCTTGGTTGGCAGATTCTCTGTTTTCTCTGAAGCAGCTTGGTGCTAACCACAGCAGTCCAGTCCCGCACCGGTGTCCATGGTGTAGTTTTCATCTTCTGCTTCACAGCACTGATTTGTGCTCATATGAGGTCTGTAGTTTTAATCCAGTGTCTAAACTCAGCATTTTATTCTCATGCAAAGCTTCCATAACCTTGCACCATGACAGGAATCTATTCAGTATCTGAGTGAGGCTGAGAGGTCCCTCACGTCATCACAGGCAGAGTGCCTCTTGTTGAGTAGGAGCCTTGGAGTATGCCTTCATGTGGGGGGAGGCAGAGAAAAAGTCCAATTTCCTTGAATCTGAGCTTCAATGAACTTTTACACTTTCTCTCAGGAGGAATCTTTAGGGTTTGAGGCACCTTCACTCATCAAATCATTCAGTAGGAAAATCACGAAATCCTGATGCCCTTCCCTGTTTCTCAGTGTTCTGGAGTAGAATTGGCAGTGACAGGTGTCCCCCCAGTGCTATAGATCAGCAGGCACCTTTCCTTGGTGAGACCATGTGCTTTTCCTCTGTACAGAGGTACAGAGATGTGCAGAGTCATCCCAGGACACAGCGATTCACACCCAGCTATGAAGGCCACTCTCATGGGCATCTGTGCTGTGCTAGACCCTGTGCCATCATGATCCATGCAACCCTCACTGGACCTCTCCTGGTGGAGATTCTGTCCCCAACTTGGGGAGAGGATCCTGAGGCTCAACAAGGTCACTCTCCCAGGTCACCCCACCTTGTGTGCATTGCAATCAGAGACCACTCCTTTGCCTGGCCCTTGTCTGTAGGCTCAGTCCACTTGTTTTCAGCAGACATGCCAGCCATGTGGCTGGTTTGGGTATTCACACTTAAAATTTTACTTCTGTAACAAATTGTGTTGAGAGAATTTCAAATATCAGTAGAAAAGTTCTGGTCTGCAAACAAGAACTTCTAAAGGCCCTGCACAACATCTCCCACTAGGAAGGCATCGGTGTGCTTCATCCCTGAGCAGGGTCCACACCTCATTGAGGTTCTCAGATAGAACTCCAGACAGGAGTGCCCCATGGCCTGAAAGTTCCTGGTCTCTCCCCTCGGGCTTTTTGCACTCAGGGTCCCATGAGGCATGCCCATCTGCATTTCTGTCGAAAGTGGTTGCTGTTTCACAGAACAGAGTTCCCTGGATGAACGTTTCTAGGCTCCAGTTGTGCCTGGGATGTCTGACTGCAAGCATACAGGAGCTGCTTATGCTCAGAAAGCCAGAGCAGATTGGTGGGCAGTTTATGTACAGAATGATCCCTTTTGAGAGTAGGTAAACCTTCATCTCTGCCCCTGGTGACTGCTCTGTCCTTGTACTCCTATCCCCACTGAGGATGAGTGAAGTCATTGCTACGTGCCAGACCTACAGACTTGTGGTTGTAGACTCAAAATCCTGAATTGAGCTGTAAGCAGGAGTTAGAATTCATGATTGTTTATTTGTTATGGATCAGAGCTGTGACCATTTCACAGCAAGCTCAGCAGCATGTGCCCCGGTGGTGTTTGCTCCCTCCTGGTTGGAACCTTGGAGGATCACTGTCGCGACTTGCTTACTTTTTCTTCAAAGCCAATCCTCAGCTCTGCCCTTTGACATCCATGCTTGTCCAGGCCACAGCATCCATATAGGCATCTCTGTCATTCATGTTCTCAATGGCGTTTCCATTTGAAGATGAATTGACTAGGGAAGAGTTCATCCAGAAATACATGCTCTTGAATTGCTTGTATTGTTCCCATAGAGAAGAGAGAGATTATTCATGAGCAACTCTGAGAATAACCAAGATTCTGTGTGGCATCAAACAGGTGTCAATTCCAGGGCATGCAGACTCCATGCATAGCTTTCTCCCAGTGTTCTAGCACCTCTCCACAGTCAGCAACCTGGGTCCTTTAATGAGAGCAGCCTGACAACTGCAGTTTGCCTCCTAGAAAGTTCTTGGGATGTGAGCTTAGAATCCCTGAGGACCATTGCAGGCAGTTTCTAAGGGTTCTGGACAGAGGTTATTGAGATGCTGATCCAACTGTGAACAGGGAGATTTGACCCCTTGCCCAGGATGGCTCACCAAGCCCATCTCCTGATGTCAACTTAGTCCTCCTAGAGGATTTCTGTCACAGTCTCCTGTTCTCACACGAGAGCAATCTGTACCCTTGGTAGTAGTGGCCATCGGATACTCATATCTGACCCAAAACCTGCTTAACCTGGTCAATCTCTCTGAATTTGTTTGCAGAAAATCAATATCATGGAGTGGAGGTACAAGAGCAAGTTGTCACATACACTTCAAGGTAACTCGGAGGCAGAGCAGACAGTGTGGCATGGACTACTAGGGAATTAGAAGCCAGTCTTCCCCAGATAGGGACAAAGTTGTGGGTGGCCCCTTGCTCAGCCCAGCCACTTCTGGAAGCCTCCTCTTTGGAACAGCTTGGAAAGGGGCTTTCTGTTCCCTCTATGTTTCTCACCCACCTTTCCCTCCCTCCAGTCTCATCAGGGAGATTCCAGAGATTGAAGATCAAGATGTCTCACAAGACTCTCACGGTACGTGTTTGACTCCTGCACTTCTTCCGGAAGCTTCTGACTGGTCCCATTCTAGGAGCACCTGGTCCTCACTGGAGAAGCAGCCTGTCTGCTCTGCTCTTGTAGACAGTGAGTGCTCCATTGTGAACAGGAACACTCCACTGCTCTCCCAGGTGGCCTCTGTAGTCTTGGGTTGCTGCACCTGTGTTGGGTGAGACAGACCACTGTGCACTCAGGCCCTGGGGAATTATCTCAGTCTGGATGTGGCTCTTGATGGAGTTTGTTCATAGTCATAAAACGGGGGAATCCCTTGGCTGTCACCAGGCCCACTTTCAAGGTGCAGCTTTTGACATCAAGACAGGGAAGGAGGGGATGGGAAGGCAGGATGGCCAACACCGAGCCACCACCATCTCTCTTGGAGAGGCTTCTTTAACAACTCACTGTGATGTTCCTAATTGTAGCAACAGTTGCAATTGTAAACAGCATCCTCCAAACTTCTCAGGCTTAAAGCTTTGGCAGTCTGTACAATGTTTCCTTAGTTATCTGATACTAGGTATCCTTGGTCGGCAGACTGTTTTCTCTGAAGCAGCGTGGTGCTAACCACAGCAGTCCAGTCCCGCACCTGTGTCCATGGTGTGGTTTTCATCTTCTGCTTCACAGCACTGATTTGTGCTCATATGAGGTCTGTAGTTTTAATCCAGTGTCTAAACTCGGCATTTTATTCTCATGCAAAGCCTCCATAATCTTGTACCAGGACAGGAATCTATTCAGTATCTGAGTGAGGCTGAGGGGTCCCTCACATCATCACAGGCAGAGTGCCTCTTGTTGAATCGGAGCCTTGGAGTATTGCTTCATGGGGGTTGGGGGGCAGAGGAAAAGTCCAATTTCCTTGAATCTGAGCTTCGATGAGGTTTTACACTTTCAGGAGGAGTCTTTAGGGTTTGAGGCACCTTCAGTCATCAAATCATTCAGTAGGTAAGGCAAGAAATCCTGATGCCCTTCCCTGTTTCTCAGTGTTCTGGAGTAGAATTGGCAATGACAGTTGTCCCCCCAGTGCTATAGATCAGCAGGCACCTTTCCTTGGTGAGACCATGTGCTTTTCCTCTGTGGAGACATACAGAGATGTGCAGAGTCATCCCAGGACACAGCGATCCACACCCAGCTGTGAAGGCCACTCTCATGGGCATCTGTACTGTGCTACACCCTGTGCCATCATGATCCATGCAACCCTCACTGGACCTCTCCTGGTGGAGATTCTGTCCCCACCTTGGGGAGAGGATCCTGAGGCTCAACAAGGTCACTCTCCCAGGTCACCCCACCTTGTGTGCGTTGCAATCAGAGACCACTCCTTTGCCTGGCCCTTGTCTGTAGGCTCAGTCCACTTGTTTTCAGCAGACATGCCAGCCATGTGGCTGCTATGGATATTCATACTTAAAATTTTACTTCTGTAACAAATTGTGTTGAGAGAATTTCAAATATCAGTAGAAAAGTTCTGGTCTGCAAACAAGAACTTCTAAAGGCCCTGCACAACATCTCCCACTAGGAAGGCATCGGTGTGCTTCATCCCTGAGCAGGGTCCACACCTCATTGAGGTTCTCAGATAGAACTCCAGACAGGAGTGCCCCATGGCCTGAAAGTTCCTGGTCTCTCCCCTCGGGCTTTTTGCACTCAGGGTCCCATGAGGCATGCCCATCTGCATTTCTGTCGAAAGTGGTTGCTGTTTCACAGAACAGAGTTCCCTGGATGAACGTTTCTAGGCTCCAGTTGTGCCTGGGATGTCTGACTGCAAGCATACAGGAGCTGCTTATGCTCAGAAAGCCAGAGCAGATTGGTGGGCAGTTTATGTACAGAATGATCCCTTTTGAGAGTAGGTAAACCTTCATCTCTGCCCCTGGTGACTGCTCTGTCCTTGTACTCCTATCCCCACTGAGGATGAGTGAAGTCATTGCTACGTGCCAGACCTACAGACTTGTGGTTGTAGACTCAAAATCCTGAATTGAGCTGTAAGCAGGAGTTAGAATTCATGATTGTTTATTTGTTATGGATCAGAGCTGTGACCATTTCACAGCAAGCTCAGCAGCATGTGCCCCGGTGGTGTTTGCTCCCTCCTGGTTGGAACCTTGGAGGATCACTGTCGCCACGTGCTTACTTTTTCTTCAATACCAAACCTCAGCTCTGCCCTTTGACATCCATGCTTGTCCAGGGCCACAGCATCCATATAGGCATCTCTGTCATTCATGTTCTCAATGGCGTTTCCATTTGAAGATGAATGGACTAGGGAAGAGTTCGACCAGAAATACACGCTCTTGAATTGCTTGTATTGTTCCCATAGACAAGAGGGAGATTATTCATGAGCAACTCTTAGAATAGCCAAGATTCTGTGTGGCATCAAACAGGTTTCAATTCCAGGACATCAGACTCCATGCATAGCTCTCTCCCAGTGTTCTACCTCCTCTCCACAGTCAGCAACCTGGGTCCTTTAATGAGAGCAGCCTGACAACTGCAGTTTGCCTCCTAGGAAGTTCTTGGGCTGTAAGCTTAGAATCCCTGAGGACCATTGCAGGCAGTTTCTAAGGGTTCTGGACAGAGGTTATTGAGATGCAGATCCAACTGTGAACAGGGAGATTTGACCCCTTGCCCAGGATGGCTCACCAAGCCCATCTCCTGATGTCAACTTAGTCCTCCTGGAGGATTTCTGTCACAGTCTCCTGTTCTCACACGAGAACAATCTGTCCCCTTGGTAGTAGTGGCCATCGGATACTCATATCTGACCAAAACCTGCTTAACCTGGTCAATCTCTCTGAATTTGTTTGCAGAAAATCAATATCATGCAGTGGAGGTACAAGAGCAAGTTGTCACATACACTTCCAGGTAACTCGGAGGCGGTAGCATGGACTACTAGGGAATTAGAAGCCAGTCTTCCCCAGATAGGGACAAGGTTGTGGGTGGCCCATTGCTCAGCCCAGCCACTTCTGGAAGCTGCCTCTTTGGAACAGCTTGGAAAGGGGCTTTCTGTTCCCTCTATGTTTCTCACCCACCTTTCCCTCCCTCCAGTCTCATCAGGGAGATTCCAGAGATTGAAGATCAAGATGTCTCACAAGACTCTCACGGTACGTGTTTGACTCCTGCACTTCTTCCGGAAGCTTCTGACTGGTCCCATTCTAGGAGCACCTGGTCCTCACTGGAGAAGCAGCCTGTCTGCTCTGCTCTTGTAGACAGTGAGTGCTCCATTGTGAACAGGAACACTCCACTGCTCTCCCAGGTGGCCTCTGTAGTCTTGGGTTGCTGCACCTGTGTTGGGTGAGACAGACCACTGTGCACTCAGGCCCTGGGGAATTATCTCAGTCTGGATGTGGCTCTTGATGGAGTTTGTTCATAGTCATAAAACGGGGGAATCCCTTGGCTGTCACCAGGCCCACTTTCAAGGTGCAGCTTTTGACATCAAGACAGGGAAGGAGGGGATGGGAAGGCATGATGGCCAACACCGAGCCACCACCATCTCTCTTGGAGAGGCTTCTTTAACAACTCACTGTGATGTTCCTAATTGTAGCAACAGTTGCAATTGTAAACAGCATCCTCCAAACTTCTCAGGCTTAAAGCTTTGGCAGTCTGTACAATGTTTCCTTAGTTATCTGATACTAGGTATCCTTGGTCGGCAGACTGTTTTCTCTGAAGCAGCTTGGTGCTAACCACAGCAGTCCAGTCCCGCACCTGTGTCCATGGTGTGGTTTTCATCTTCTGCTTCACAGCACTGATTTGTGCTCATATGAGGTTTGTAGTTTTAATCCAGTGTCTACACTCAGCATTTTTTTCTGCTGTAAAGCCTCCATAATCTTGCACCAAGACAGGAATGTATTCAGTATCTGAGTGAGGCTGAGGGGTCTCTCACGTCATCAAAGGCAGAGTGCCTCTTGTTGAGTAGGAGCCCTGGAGTATTGCTTCATGGGGGTTGGGGGGCAGAGGAAAAGTCCAATTTCCTTGAATCTGAGCTTCGATGAGGTTTTACACTTTCTCTCAGCAGGAATCTTTAGGGTTTGAGGCACCTTCACTCATCAAATCATTCAGTAGGAAAATCATGAAATCTTGATGCCCTTCCCTGTTTCTCAATGTTCTGCAGTAGAATTGGCAATGACTGTTGTCCCCCCAATGCTATAGATCAGCAGGCACCTTTCCTTGGTGAGACCATGTGCCTTTTCTCTGTACAGACATACAGAGATGTGCAGAGTCATCCCAGGTCACAGTGATTCACACCCAGCTATGAAGGCCACTCTCATGGGCATCTGTGCTGTGCTAGACCCTGTGCTGTCCTGATCCATGCAACCCTCACTGGCCCTCTCCTGGTGGAGATTCTGTCCCCACCTTGGGGAGAGGATCCTGAGGCTCAACAAGGTCACTCTCCCAGGTCACCCCACCTTGTGTGCATTGCAATCAGAGACCACTCCTTGGCCTGCCCCTTGTCTGTAGGCTCAGTCTACTTGTCTTCAGCAGACATGCCAGTGATGTGGCTGGTATGGGTACTCACACTTAAAACTTTTCTTCTGTAATAAACTGTGTTGAGAGAATTTCAAATATCAGTAGAAAAGTTCTGGTCTGCAAACAAGAACATCTAAAGTCCCTGCACAACATCTGCCACTTGGAAGATGTTGGTGTGCTTCATCCCTGAGCAGGGTCAGCAGCTCATTGTGGCACTCCAGATAGAGCTCTAGCTCAGGAGTGTCCCATGGCCTGAAAGTTCCTGGTCTCTCCCCTCGGGCTTTTTGCACTCAGGGTCCCAGTGAGGCCTTGAACTTGTCTTTGCCACAGACCAGTGGTTGTGTGGCTTTGTCTCAGAAACACCCAGTGCCAGGGCTGGGCAGTCATGAGGAAGCAGGCAAGTGCACAACACTGTCTCAGGAGGGAGATGTGTGTGCTAGGCCAAAGCAATGCCTTACAGCCCACCTGGGATTTCTTCCTGACTTTTGTGTTTCACCTTAGCTTGTCTCTCCCTTCTTCAGGTGCCTGTAACTAGGTTCCCACTTCAACTGACCAGAAAAGTGAGGGTCACATCATATATATTATTATCTATATGACAGGCACTGAAGGCATATATCCTATGAATCGATGTGCTTGGTGTATGTTCAGCAAAGCATGTGCATGTATGAAATGCATGTGTTCTTGTGCTAGTGTTGTTCATTCCAGCTATTAGTGGTCCCCTGTCCTTGTCTCTCATTACAATGCCCTCCAGGTTAGATGATCCTGCTCCATCCCCCCAAACCTTCAACAGATATCCAGTGTGGTTTCTGTGCCTTAAAAGCTTAAGAGCTGTGTGTTTTATTAGTCCAACTTTGTTGAATATTCTGATCATCTGAGCCATGATTATTACTTTTGCCTAGTGATAAATTATCAGTGAGTATGTATAAAATCAACCCGAATGAAAACAATTTAGTGCCTGTGCAGGACATGACTGTGCAGGGCCCCTTTCCTTACTTGTTGTCCCTCTGCTGCAGGCCTGACTGCTAGAGAGAGAGCATGAATACCAATCCTGATGGCTGTGGTTCTATTTCAGAACTGAGTTTTGTTGCTGCCCCTGAGAGGAAGACCCGTTCCCAGCTGGAGGGAGGTCCTCACGAAGATCCCATCACCAGCAAGTGTGAGAGTCATAGCATCAGCCCCAGTGATGTCCCAAGTACCCCAAAAGAAAATGTTATCAAAGGAAAATGGAAGCCCAGGAAATGCGAACTGGCCTGCAGGTTCCCTGGCCTGGAGATGAAGGGCAAACCACAGCCCACAGAGAGGAAGATTGCGTGCCGATTCCCAGGCCAGGAGATGAAGGGAAAACCACAGCCCATGGAGTGCCACCTTGCATGGAGATTCCCTGACCAGGAGACGAAGGGAAAACCACAGACCAACATGTGGGCACTGACCTTCAGATTCCTAGGCCTTCACACCTAGACAGAGGTAATCCTGTGTGTGTGTCTTAGATGTATTTGTTCCTTCTTACACTGGGCACAGATTATAGCTCATTTCTGTTTGTTCAGATAGGGTAGAACTGTAACCTCTCTGTTTGGATCAATAATTTGAAATAGAAGATACAGTAAGAAACCCTTGTCATGTAGAAACCTGACCCACAAAATAGGATACCTCCCCTCATAATCAAGTTAAAATGTTTACAGTTGAACTTCTCTCCCTAAAACATGCTGTTCACCATCCACTCACTTGATTGCAAGTCCTCTATTGGGTTGAGAAATATACATTGAACAATCACATTTTATCTGATCTTATTCCTAGGCCAATTTCCAATGCAGATTCTTAGGTCTCATTCTCCAATGTTTGTCCTTCCCTCTGACCAGTATACAAACAGGATATTCTCAAAAAGAAAATTTCTTAGGGGAACTGAAAAAAAAATGGGGAAACTCTAGGATGACTGAAGAGTGCCTGTTTTAAAGTTAATGTTCCCTTCAGAGTTGAGTGAGTGAGCTATTAGGCACACAGCAGAATGGTCCTAGGTGTAACTAGATGTGGAATCATCTTCAGAGAAACTTGGTGTCTGTTCTATTGACATGAGTTGTGCTGTGGTTACACTCCCGGCTCTCTTTGCTTACTGCAGAAAACTAGTCCATTTCTAATGCACCAGAGAGCAGGAAGAAGTGGGGTGACATCACCCTCTCCTGGTTAGGAAAGGCCAAGGGCCCTGGTTCCCCAGCACTGCAGAGCTGGGCTGGAGTTCAGGGCAGGACTCTGCTCATTTGGCTGCCACTTCCCTCTCAGCAGCCCAGGGCTCCCCTTCAGCCAGTCTCCCCACTAGAATTGAGTTTGCCTGGCCTCTGCCCCACGGTGGCCCAGATGCAGGTTCAGCTCTTACCTGGACCTGACCCTGCTCTCCTTTGATTTTTCTTCTCTCCCTCTTTCAGATCCCAAGTACAGTTGGAAGTACAGAACAGTATTGCTGATTGTAACATCCCCACCTCTTCAAAACATCTAACACAGGAGCTCCGCTTCAACAGCAACCAGAACACCAAGAACGCAATTTCAACACCATGAACTGCCCTCGGCTATTTTTATCCACTAGGCTGCTTCCCTGAGAGCTGGCACAGTCTTCAACTCCAATCTGAGTAAACACCAAAGGAGACCCAGGCCTGACTCCACAGCTGCTCTGGAGAGAACACCACCTGGCTCCTCTCCAACTGCCTCCTGTAGAGATCTGAGGTCAGGAGGAGCTGGAAGCAAACAGCATAGGACCCTGGGCACACACTGCCTTTGGATGGGGCGAGCTCGGTGTGGGCAGTGTCAGAGACACAGCACCCTGCACACAAGGCTGCATGTGAGCAGAGGAGAGGATCGGACTCTGCAGGATGTGGACCCTGACCCAGACAGCTGGCCCTCTCCTTCACACAGCCAGCGTTCCGCATAGAGGACAGCAGGAGGAGGAGACTTTGGGGCTCCAAAGGACAGGAAGGGTCTCTTTCCTCCTTTTGAACCCCAACCATCTCCCCCTTCTGCTGTCTTCCATGATGGGAACGCTGACTGTGTGAAGGCGCAGGCCAGGTGTCTGGCTCGGGGTCTGCATCCTGAGGATCTCTGATGCTTTCCTCAATTTTACACTCAGCCTCACTCTTCAGCCAAGCACCCAATGCAGGGAGTGCTGTGTGCTCCCTCCCACACCCCCGCAGGAGGCAGAGAACATCTTGTGTGCCCATCAGGTCCCCTGACCCTGGCATCGGTCAGTGGGTGAAAGCTGTCTGTTGATCTGTACATCCTAAAGATGTGCTCCTTCCTCTGTATCCTAACAACTGTGGAGAGGGTGACCCCTCAGAACCTGAGAAAAATGGGAGTGAGCAGCAGCCTGGCGGAGGTCCAGTCATCAACCCAGGAGGTGGCCGTCGATGGGCGTGATAACAGCAAGTTCATGGTGATGAATGCAGCAGTATGGCCGGGAGGGCCCAGGTGGGCGAGGTGGACTGAGCCTGCATCAAGGAACCGGACACCTCTCTGAACACTCCTCTCTCCACGTCCAGAGTCAGGCAGCACAGATGCGGGCAGGACCTCATCACAAGGACGCTCATCTCTTACGGCTGCTGGTCCTGCCAACTCCACTCAGTGTTGCAGGAGAACTGGGGGCTCCTGATGCAGGACGTGGGCCAAGGCATCCAGAGCCCCAGCAAACAGCAAGGCCGTGTTCCTGCCGGCCTGAGGCAGCTGCAGGATGAGGAGGGGCCATATGCCTGCCCCCCCATCATGGAAAACTGAGTCCTCGCAGATTCTGGACACCCACTGCTTAGTAGGTGTTCCTGGTCCAAGAACAAACCGAGCCAATGGCACCGCTGCCCTGTGGTGGACCTGTTTCTCACAGCTGCCATTCTTACTTCCACTGTCTGTCATGCCTGTGATGACACAATTGTTTTCCTTTCATGAAAATTGGGATCCTAGGGAGGGAATTGTGTTTCCACCTGAGTGTGCCTCCTCTCAGTGTAACAGCTGCCTTAGACACCCTGTCAGCACATCTTGGGCTCCTAAAATCTACAACTTCTCATTAAGATATAGCTGTCCAGGCCCAGAAGAGTCTCCAGTGTCCTGGAGTGTAACTGGAATCTCAAAAATTTTGATTCAGGTCCCAATACATATTCCCTGTTTTAGTTAAGTGTTTTTAAAAAGAAAAATTCCAAAAAAAAAATTAAAAATTTAAAAATAAAAAAATTTTTAAAGTAAAACTAGAAAAGAAAAATGGAATTCCATTGTTTTTTTAAAAAGGAAAGATTTAAAAAATTAAAAATTTTAAAAAAAATTTTAAAAAGAAAAAATTAGAAAAAATGTCATTTAAGTGTTTTTGAAAGTAAAATACTGAAAAAATTAAAATTAATTTTAAAAACTTTAAAAACAATAAAAAACAAAAAATAGGAAAATACTAATAGGAAAATTAAAGTTCCACTTCATTTTAGTAACTTTTTAAATAGGAAAAATATAGAAATATATATAAATTGAAATTTTTTCATAAATTTAAACTCAGCAAATACAAGTAAAATTCCATTTCAGTTCAGTGTTTTTGTAAATACAAAAATGCTAAAAATTTTTAAATTGAAAAATGATTATACTTTACAAATGATAAAAGAGAAAAACAATTATTCAGAACAAGTGTAAAATGTCATTCCTATTCACTGTTTCATTTAATGGAGAAAATGCCAAATAATTACAATTTAACAACTTTGCAAAAATTTCAAACTTAAAACAAAAAAAGCAATACTAAGGAAACAACATACAATGCCATTTCAGTTAGTTATCTTTCTAAATAAGAAAATGCTAAAAAGAAATGAAAAAATTTCAAAACAAAAAGAAATTACTAAGAAGAAAAAAATAAATGCCGCTTCAGTAAAATGCCACAATGCAACAAAAAAAAATGTAAAAATTTGTTTTTGCTTTGTTTGACAACTCGAATTGTTCTCAACAACTGACCACTGATGATGACAAGTTATTCAGTACCTCCAGAACAAACCGCCTGGTAATTTATGCCAAGAGACAAATCAGCAGTCATCTAGGTTTTTCCTTGGATACCACTTTCACCAGCCCTAACTTAGGTGAAACTCTCTGCAGAAATTTTACAAACTCTTTGCTGATTTTGATACCTGCTTTTACTTTTGTTCTGTAAAAATCATACACTTTGGATAATAAAATTTCAGAGTTGAAATAAAACACTTTGGAGAGTGCTGCTTGGAAGATGTATAAATCTCCTGTTTGAAAATGGGCTTCCTTTAACAATTTTACCATGCATTAACCATTCATGCCTGTGTCAGTTATTATACTCAAGTTTAATACTAGATTTCTAATAGAATTCTTCCTGAAGACTGGATCTTGGCATTCTGTAGTTCAAAAGCATTCTCACCCCAACGTGGAATGTTATTGCAAATATCCTGTTAGCCCATACCATTGGATTTTTTTCTCTATCACTTGGATTTTTTAATTGCAGTGTTATAATATATTACATCTCATATTGGGTGTGCTGAATTTTTACCCTTGTATCTCTCTCTCTCTCTCTCTCTCTCTCTCTCTCTCTCTCTCTTTCTCTATTTATATATGAAGTAGACTGCTTTTCTCAAGCTATAGCAGAGAGCCAGATCAGAAGAGGAACAGTCGGGTCTTGAACCAGAGTCCACATGGGAAGCAGGCACTGTAGGTGGAGGTGCAGCCCACTATACCACAGTGCCAGAACCAAGTTTACCAATTTTTAAAGAGACTGATTTATTTATCTGCAAGGCAAACATAAGAGAGAGGGAGAGCTACATAGAATGAAACACACAGAGATGTTCCATCTGATTCACCTCTCAAATGCCTGCGCCAGCCACAGCTAAACCACGCTGAAGTAAGGAATCCAACAACTTGAGCCATCTGCTGCCTCCCATTACTACAGGAAATATGGCTTAGAAGCAGCTGGGTCTTGAACCAGGCACTCTGATATGGATGCTGCTGTCATATTGATGGCTGTACCCATGGTCCCACGATGTCAGCACCTGCCTTCTTTAGAAAAAAAAAAAGTTTATTGAAAAGCAGCATTACAGTGAAGAGGCAGAGGATGAGCAGTGGGAGAAAAGGGAGAGGGAGGTGGTGGTGCTGGGGTGGAGAGAGAGAGAGAAATACCTTCCATCTACTGGTTCACTCCCCAAACGCCTGCAAATTCAGGGAAAACCTCCTGGCTGCCTTGAATGTTTCCATTCCTGCACTTGGGACTCCAGGCCAGAATCCAAGTGTCTCTCCTGGAAGGCCAGCCATCTGCCAGCAGGTCTTGGGACTTCCTAGCCTACATGACCACATGACACAGTGCCTTATCCCATGATGCCCTTGGGATCCATGGGACCACAAGTGCAGGTTCCATTTGCAGTGATTTTGAACATTGACAAAGAATGCATCTGTACTGGCCATATACCATCTTTTTCCCCTTGAATTCTTCTACACACAGTATACCCTTTAGGTATTATAAGATATCTAGGGACAACTGAATGTATATGGGAGAATATTTGGTCCAATGCAAATGCTACCAAATTTATGTACAGGACTTTAGCAATGGTGACTTTAGTGCCCGCAAGTGATCCCAGACCCCATCTGACACAGAACTTCATGTACAACTGTCCATATTCCATAAGTCCTCGCAGGGTCTCACCAGACACAGATTATCATCCTGAGACTTGAGGTGCAGGTCTAATGAATCCTGCAAGGACAGAAGCAGCTTTGCCCCTGGGGAACAGGTCCCCACTGGAGGCGTTTTCAGATGCACACTGAGCTATGGGTGGGAATGGGGATTCTGGTGAGGTCTGCAGTGGAAATGAGGAATAGATGTGATTGAAGACCAGGAACAAGGTGAACCTTGTTTGTAAGAGGCAGGGAACTTGGTTTCTGGCATTTTTCTAGAAGGTATAACTTGCCAGGAATGAAACTGGACAGTAAATGGAGGTGAATTCTCAGCAAAGCGCTGATTCAGGGGCTTGCCTTCTGGCAGTGTTTCAAAAGAATTTTTTTGAAAGGGAGAGATACAGACATACTGGGAGAGAGATTGTCAGCTGCTGGGTCAATCCCCAATAGCTAGGGCAGGGTCAGGCCAAAGCCAGGAGCCAGGAGCCAGGAGCTCCTTCCAGATGTGTGT